ACCAACAATCTCTTACAGTGAAGAAAGCTGACCCTAGGTAGGGACCCACTGAAATGGCCACTGGGTCTTCCCTCAGGAACTGGTTGCTTTTTGAAAGGGTGCAGCTTCTCCCCTCCTAGATTGTCTGACCGATAAAACAGCAATTGCGCACAAGAAACATCATACAGTAAATATCCCTCTATAGCGCTTGGGAAGGAGCCAGCAGAGATAAATGTGCTCTCTTCCCCAGGTCAAGCCTCCCGATTTTGGCACTTGTGGTTAATGGAAACTTTAATTCTTGGAAGTTTCGTGTGTTTTCCAAGACTCAGGGCAGAAAGTAGATGGAGCATAAACAGTGCGTTCATTTAATTATTAAAAGACCTAGAATTAATCTTACGGCAAATGAAGAACATTTTTTTCTTTGTAGACAAATCCCCTTCACCCTCTCAAGGCTGCTTAGCTCTGTCTAGTCAGTTGGTGGCCATTATTCTGACTGTCACTAGCTTTTTAAATAATTGATATAATTTGATCACACGTAAATGGGAAAGAATTTGTATAGTCAGTCGAGTCCACTCTATTTTACAGTTTGGTTTGATGTACACTTACCCATTATTTTAGCTTGGAGAACCTTCCTTAACATCTATTTTGTGATTTTTTGTAAATTTTATTTTATTTTATTTTATTTTATTTTTGGTGTATGTATCCAAAGCTATATAATACATGTTGCAGTTGCTGGTCTTAAGGGACAAACAGTTGAAAAAGAAAGAAGTTATCAATAAACTCTAATGCAAGCAAATACGTGACTGAAACAGGAAAGGAAATATAACAAAGTGCCATGGGAATTCAAATGAGAGGTATTTAAGACCATGGGACTAAAGCATCTGATCTAGTCTTTGAAAGGCTGGATTTACTTGGAGTAGGCAGAAAAGACTGCTGCGATCAACTGCAAGCAGAGTCATGAAGAATGGGCAAGACTGGTCCGTGGCGTAGCAGCAGGAACTAACTTAATCAGTACCTAGGAAGCAGGGTGCAGCACGGCAGGCTGGGGCGCTTGACGCCGGGCAGCCTCTGTCACCAGGATTCTCAGCCCCAGATGAGCTATTCACGCACTTTGCCCCTCCCACCCCCAGGGCGGCCGGAGAACAAGGCTGTGGCGTGTTTATTTTACTATCTAACTTCTAATCCTCTTAAAGAATGACGATGCTCAAAACATATTTTTTGCATCAATGAAAGAAAAGTGAAACATGTTGGAGCCTTGGGTGAAAAATTGCACAGAAAGCTTTAAACACTCAACAAAGGAGGCTGAACAGTCGTCAGTGGGGAGTGGAAATTCAGTAAATCTGGGGAAGATTGTGATGATAGTAAGAGCATGTTTTAAGAGGACTGATTGAGAAGGGAGGCTTTGATTGCCTTAGCGGTTGTGTTTCTAAGTAGAGCTATGGGGCTCTAGAGTTCTATGCTTGACAAAAGGGGAAACTGGGAGCTATTACATTACTCAGCAAAGGAATGAAGCCCAGATATCCAGGGAAGGGCTGTTATACATTCTCATGAGGGTAGCGGAACAGTCAGAGGCAACTGTGTGATATTTATGCGGTGACAAAGAAATAGTAAAAAATAATAAAATGAATAAAAAGTGGACTGTTGAGGAGAATTTATGAGATTTACAAGTACATCCATACCTGCATCCTATGAAAATTCTGTTCTTTTGCTATGACATGTATTTTCAGCTCAATGAGGTATATGCTCCTAAATATTCAATTTTAAGTCAAGTTTCAACATGTTCTGAAATGACAAGCTATGTCAGACAATTTATGAGTCCATAATTTAGACTGCTTCATTCAAAATAAGGGCAAAAAGTAAAGGTTGAATTTTCACTAGTAAATTCTTAACAATTGTGTCCCTAGAGAAAAGAGGCCAGTTAAGGGAAACAAAAGTGAAAAATATATACTATAAAATATATAAATATTATAAATATCCTTTCCTCTTCCCATTCTCAACTGACGTTGTTTCCTTGAGTGACATGGGTCTTTTTCCTTTAGTTAGATTTTCTGTGTTGGGCAGGAATGACATGAGGACGCATTGTCACCACATAACAAAGATCTTAAATTATTCTTTGCTCCTGATAATGGGATTCAGTAATGCTTGGTGAATGAAAAAAAAAAAGAAGGATCTGTGCTTGAAACATGCTGTTTCTCTCTCTTGCATTTACTTTTTCATCCTTCCTTTCTTCTTGGTTTCACAGTCATTTTTGGAATCCATATGGAAAATTTGAAGTTTACAGTTTTGGGGATTTATGGCTGCACCTGTCCGCAAGGCTGCGTAACTCATCGACTCTGCCGTCTCAGATCATCCTTTTCTGTTTGGACAACCCTTTCTTGCCTTTGTCAGTCACTCCCCTCCCCAACTCCACGTCAGCAAGAATCATATTTGCTTGTTGTTTGCTGTCTAGGCTTCTCCTTACATATCACATACCCTAAATATCTCCCAGGACACACAATAGCTACTCAATAAATGCTTCTTATTGCCAGATATAGTGGCCCATGCCTGTAATCCCAGCGTTCTGGGAGATTGAGACAGAAGGACTGCAATTTTGGGCCCAGGTTGGGAAATTTAATAACTGCATGAGACCCTGTCTCAAAATAAAAAAATAAAAAAAGAGGTCTGGGGATATAGTTCAGTAACACAATAAATAAGTACAAATTACTATTAGTTCCTTTCTAGTCCCCTTTTTTGAATTTTTAAAAAATTCATATTATGGTCTGAATAGAAAACATTTAAATTTACCCTTGGTGAGAAGCTGACAAAGGATATCCATTCATTTTTCAAGAGCATATATACTACTTAGGTTTATTTTTCTAGTTATTTAATCATTATTTTCCTGTTGGTCCCTAAAATCTACGTTTTCTTGGGTGTTCAATGAGTTCCTTAATTGTTCTCCTAGGAGTAAGAACTAACTTGTGCATGATGCCTCAAAAAAAATCAGTAATAAGTTTAGAACAGAGCTAACTTTGTTTAAATATTATGATTTTTTTGACTGTTCAGGAATCCTGTTGGAATCTGTTTATGCTGCAAACCAAAGGAATTTATGCAGCTGGAAAGCAATTCAAGGATGTCTGTTCATTTGTATGTCAGCATCAGTCAGGTTCCTCTTAAAACCTAGGAGCATTTTATTTGGGGATGAAGAGATTTTGGAAATCCTTTCTCCTCAGAAACAGAACTTGCCTGCTGCTTTCAAACAAGTGGAGTATTAAGAACTAAACTAGTGACTCTTTTTCAACTGTCTGCTCCTTGGATTATGAAATGCACATCAGTGTAGTCCTTGAAATTACTTTTGAGATAAAGGGTGAAGTCCTTGCATTGGGTGACCTTGCCTTGGATTCAACTGGTGAATTTTGAACTCTTGGATTTCCTGAGTCATATTAGACTTAAAAATTCAAAAGTCTTCCAGATGACAATGGAAATGGTTTATGTTAGCAGCCCAAATATTGGTCGGTCTATTTGCTTGGTCTGCTGCTTTATTAGTGTCCTCATATAAACTACTTTGGAACATATTGCTTTGGAATCAGCTTAATAAAACTGTTACATAAACTAGTAATCAAAACAACATGTTATAAACTCACTTTTTTTGAGTTATCATGAATTGGGCATGACAGTTTAACTCCACTTAGTTGTCTGTTCCAATGAGTTCAGAGAACATTTCTTTTTTGAGATATATATTTACTTGCAAAGAAAAATCATTTGCCTCCTTGAAATTAGATCACCCCATTTCTTCAAAGATATCCTTCAGAAATATAAATGAAAATGATCCCCATCCAGGTTGTGTGTTCATTTCAAACTTAAACAAGCTCACAGGTGTGAATCAGTATGATCAAGGAAAGGGGTATTAATAACAATCACTAGCCTTTAATTTGCATCCAGGTGAACAAAACCAAATCTTTCTTGCAAGGCAGTTTTGGGGAGGAAGCTGTTTACAGTCAGGTAATGCATTGTATAGTTATTAATAGTGTTAGGATTTATGAAGATTCAATCAAGTCCACAACTGGGGAACACATGTTTTAGGCAGCCTGCCTCCTTCCTAAGGTAGGAAGTAGCTTGTGTTTGAAGCGCATTAACAAGACCAATGCAATGGATAGAAAAGAGGAAAAGCGTAAGAAGAGGTGGGAAAAAAGGCAGGAATGGTCACTAATCCACCTGTAGTGGTTGATACATTGTGTCAATTTGAGAAGTTTAGAAGGTTAACTAAGTGACTCAGAGGAGCCAGGGTCCTTATTTTGTAAACATCCTGATCCTGTGCAAGAGGAGGGCATGGAGATGGTGTGAGTGCTACAGAGCTCTTGGGTGTGTGTGTGGGTAGCCTG